ATACAATTAATTATATCAGGAGTTAATATAGACAAATTTGTCTTTATTAACTCCTGATATCTATAGTCCTATGTATAAAACTCAACAGCAATTCATAATATTCCCTTTAAGCTGCCCCGAAATCAGACATTGCCATATAAACCAAGCAGAACCAAGGACGGTGAACTAATGTTAAGTCAATAGTCAATAGTTAAAGTCAATAGATAACAAGTTAACCCTGACGGCTGTATACACACGGCGATGACGCAGACAAACGCCTAAATTGCTTACAAGCATTTGCCTGTAGGTGCATCGTTACACATCATGTGTAGTGCTGACTTGTATTGTTTGATGCGCCGGTAACACAACTTTGCTTATTAAAAAGATCAGGTTATGCAGTGAGCTACATGCCTAGAGCATTTTACACATTTGTTGATTTCATGGCATGCGGTCGATGACATCGGCTACTCAAAGTGCGACGAACCTCGAAACGCGTGAGAAAATGTTTCGCGACTTAACCCGGCGCGCACGACGCGTAGAGGAAGGAAATAAAACGAACAATTACTTCCGCATCAATGCTTGATTCTGGCAAGCAATTAGCTCGAGTGTCTTCGGGAGTAATACGCCTACGCCCTGTGTATAGAGGTAACAGTCATATAAGAAATATATCAAGAGGTGATTATACATACCATTGACGTCTCACATATACCGGGTTATTCTCAAATATCATGAATCACGTAACGCAGTCACCACAGCAACATGCCTGCTCGTATATCCGCGCATGCACAGCGTGTGATACGTCCAAGGGGTTTCGTGTAGCAAAATCCGACCGAATCTGATAGGTGAGGAAAGCGCCGGTGTATTATATAGTGAGGGAACAATTTATGTGCTCGTCTCACGCGTCCGGGTGCACGTACCGGTGTACGTCCGGGTTTATCGTACCGTTTTGATGACCGTACCTTACCGTACCGGACCGTACCGATTAATTTGCCGAATATTTCCAATAGAATGAGGTGTACATTTTCATTGGATGTGACTGAGCTAATGTTCTTTGTTGTTCTTACATACGCGCGCGCGCGTGTGTGTGTGTGTGCGTGCGTGCGTGCGTGCGTGTGCGTGCGGGCGTGCGCGGCCTATGCGTGCGTGCGCTGCGTGCGTGTGTGCGTGCTAGTGGTTGATTTTGCCTAGTCATGCCATGTTATTGATTCCTGATGTAATTTCAATCTTTCTTTTTACGCGGAACAGGGACGGCGCGTATTTTCAGTACATTCTCAATTGGTTACGGGACGATGAACTGCCACCGGTAGGTGTCGCTGACGCGGTTCTCAAGGAAGCGCGATTTTACGGTTTGCAAGCGTTGGTGACAGGACTACAAAGCTATCCGCTCATGTATGCTGGAGTCGACGGTCTGCACAGTACCCTGTACGGCCAGATGCGACAGAGTCAAGCACGAGGATCTACAATGCAAAACTACGTGCTGATGCTGTCAGCAGCGTTGCTGGCCATATTGTTCTGTTTTGTCGGCTACGCAGTTTCTCAGGTCAAAGTTCACCTCAGCTCACTTTCAACACCGTGAACTGAGCAACAGCTGCCATATGTCAAAACATCAGTGTTTCCTCGGTGGTTAACCTCGTCATGTTTTGACAGTTCTATTTAGTATATCCTATACTTTACAACGAAGGAACTTGTGGGACATTGACTGTGGGACATTGACCGGATCTGGCCTGGAGGTCAGCATTTTCCCGCGCTACTGCCAGCAGTAGCTATAAACCTAGCCCGACCAGGCTCTCCGACTGTTACACGCCACGTCGTACGCCAACGTAGTGTTCGTACGCAACGAAGCGAGAAGGGAACTTGTGGTTGTCTCGCACAGTCCTACAGCAATTAAGGTCCGAAAGAAATAAACATATAAACAAAAGATTACATTTCGACGAATAACCTCCCATTGCTTTCTCGGTGAGAAATTATGCGAATTGTGTAGCAACCTGAACATAATTCTAACAGAGCGACTGCGCATGCGCGGGTCCGGATAATTTTTCGACGGTTTTGTGCCTGGTGTATTAAGTTTTTATATATTTATTGTATAAAATGTGGTAGGGTTTGGGTTAGAGTCAGAGCCAGGGTTAGGATAAGGCTTATGTCAGGACTAGAGTTATCGTTACATCAGTTGTGATTTATACCATAACCATTAGTGTTGCTGTTTATTGCGGTTCAAAGCTACAATTATTAATCATTAATCATATCAGGAGTGAATAATAATAATATTCACTCCTGATCATATGTATAAAGCTATTTCCGAGTTACCGGAGCCGACGTCACACAAGCCACAACCGGAAGATAAAATGCGTACGTGTGCGCACTAAAGGGCCCCGCACACGGTGCATGAGGTTCGCGCCGGTAGGTTAATGCCCCAATGAAGAGGATTTTCCTCGTCATTGGTACGTTGTTTTCACAGACGAGCTCCGTTTCTAACATGGCTCTGATAAAATCGGCATAATTAAACCAAGGATTCGGCTAGATAAGTATGCTAATGATATAACAATTGTTCTTCGTGACATCGACAGTTTATCATTATAATCCTTCATAATATATACGGATTTTTTTATATACAAAAAACGCAATTGTTCCTCATCAATGCTCTTAGTCGCCAATTTGCATATATTTAATTGGTATAAAAAGCTGATTTCTTCGATGTCGGTACTCAATAGCCGCGTTCACACGGAGCGAAGGAACTCGGGTCGAAGACGACCCGTGACGAAAACGACACGGAGCGTTGTTGAAGAGAGCGTTCACACGACGCTATGCGAGCTGTGAGCTGAGAAAAAAAATACAATGCGTCCAAGCGAACAATTTCGTACCGAGAAAACGTCCGTGTGAACGCTCGTCCTGGGACGCATTTGACACGGGTCGTTTTCGACCCGAGTTCCTTCGCTCCGTGTGAACGCGGCTAATAAGAGTGGAGTTAGTTTAATTAAAAGGCATTGCGTCACTACCGGAAGATGTGACAGACGTGCAAGCAGTTCGACTCCCAGAGAACCAGGCTACTGCCCAATGAGAGAATGTCCTATCACCACATCGGACAACGCGACCTCGTCAGTACCTCTACGAATAACTATTGCTGTCACTAATAAATCGGTGTGATAGTTGTTCGGTAACGGTAAGTAAATCGGTTGACCTAGTATAAACAGGCACACCGCAACAACACGAGGAAGGCAAGCGAGTTGACTAGGAGTCAACGGCAGGAGGGTTCGGACTGTGAGATGGCGCCGACATGCAGCTATCCTGCCTGGCTGTTCCCTTGGTGTCATCAGGACATGGAGCTTGTACAATAAAGCGTAAGCTGTTTCTGAGCAAACTATTGGGCATGCAGATCGCATTATTGGTGCTGCGCATGGCAAAGTATGTGGTTACGAGTCAAAGACCAGTGAGGAAAAGAACAGAATTTCGACAAATATCTTGGAATATATGATTTGTAAATAACTTATGCGTTTCAGTGCTGAGCTACCACTTTCACGACTTAAATGTATTAATATTGAAATGGCCATGCAATGTACTTTCCATTAATGTGCGAAGAACAGCTGGCCGGTAAACATATTTGACCCTTAGAGAGTACGTTACTAGAGCCCATATACCTGCGTGCCTACAGATTCAAGCTAGGCTAGCAAGATTTAAACTCCTTAAATATTATTATTTGTGTAATATGCAGTCCGTACCTTGAATTCTGTAGATCATCAACACCAAGAGCGCATGAACACTAATGTAATTTGTAATGTAATGCAAATTGTAATGCAGATGTGTTTTCACAGCTGAGCAAGTGTGGGCTGGCAACCGCGAATCCGTAGCCAATTTTTCTGCTATCATAGTTGGTATTTTACAGAGTACACTACACTATGGCTGAAGGGGTCGTTGTCGTATCAGGTACTAGTACTACAGATATGTACCCGAGGTACGTATATGTATACACAAGTGTACCAGACCTGTATCTTCTCAGCATATATGTACCCTGTGCTTACATAAACGTATATATTGCCCATGAGATGGAGATCGAATGAAGACGGTCATGGAGGAGGAAGTAGAGGCAGGAGGAGGAGGGGAGAAGTCAAATTGGAGAATCGTAAGAAAGGTCATGGAGAAAGTAGGGGGCAGGAGGAGGCAGGAGGAGGAGGAGAAGGAGGAGGAGGAGGAGGAGGAGGGAGACGTGTTAGGAAGTAGGGCGAGGTTTTATTAGTCGGACGGAGAGAGGATATAGGAGGAGAAGAGGGGAGAGGGTGAGCTATCTCGGATTTTCTCAGTAGCGTGTGGTGAGGAGGACGGGCCCTAGCGGAATAATATTATAATTTTTAAACCCAAAAAACAGTAATGAAAATAAGGTGAAGGAGGTATGGAGGCTCAGGAAAGAGAGGCTTGACACCGAAAGATATTAAACGGAAAGGCTATTGAGGGTATGAGGCCGTGAGGGTCACAGGAAAGGGAAAGGTAGGAGGGGAGACGTGAAGAGAATTTGGGTGGAGTAGGGGCGCAGTACGGAGGAGTGGAGAGTTAATCTGGGTTCTCGCTCCTCCATCCTCCCAAACAATGTACCCCCTAAACGCCGCTAAACCTGGCATATGACCCGTCTCCATTATCGCCATTCTCCATCACAAAATTTCTCTCGCTCCTTCTCTCACTGCAGCCCACTTCCGTGCACAACCGCCTCCTCACCTCACTTCAGTTCGCTTCGCAATGTGCCATCATGGCGACCTTTACCTTCTATCCCTCCTCCTCCTCCTCAAGACATATCCTCCTGCCTCCAGTCCCCAAGGTATGGGAAAGAAAATGCGAGAGGCCGGCTAAGGAGGAGGCTGGATAAATGGTAAGGAGCATAAAGACCAGGATAAAGGAGGAGTGTCCAGAATACATGGACCGAGTAAAAAATTTCCTAAGACGGACGAAGGGTAATGGAGTATGCGAATGAAGGTCCAATGGAGAAAAGTAGGGGCAACGGGGCTAAAATCTCTATACCTCGGACAGAGAACGGTCATCCACGCGACAGGATGTAGGAGGAGAACCTGTAAGCGTACGAGGTACGAAATTACTGGGCTATGTGAAGAGGAGGAGGCGGCAAACGGATTAGAGGAGGATGTATGGAGGCATCTGATGAATAAGAATGAAAGCTATGGAGGAGTAAAAGAGCAGCATAAGAAGCAGTCAAATTTAAAGCTCTACATACCTAATAACCTAAAAAATTGGATAAGCTTTCAAAAGTTAGGAAATTTTTTTACCGTCGATCTTTTCATTTTCAAGCTTTATCGGATAACTCCTTTCTGCCATATGGACGGTACATGCTGAACTGTCAGAGAGGCGCGTTGGCTTGCAGCGAGGGCGTAGCATGTGTAAGGGAGAGGAGCGCGAGCGCTAGGGAGAACGTCACAAGAAGAAGAAAAAGGAGGGGAGAAGGTGAGTGGAGTAGGTGGAGGAAGAGGAAGGAGGGGCGTGATAGTATGCACAGCGTGAGATACAAGAGCTGTATTACTGGGATGAGTATAAAAAGATAATTCGGAATGATAATGAAAAATCAGAGAGTACATTGGAGGACGGAGTTCTAGGCGCGGAAATGAGCGAGAGAAGAGGGACGAATGTAAATGAAGAGTTGATTTTTAGGCAGGAAGTAGAGGACGACGGTTTTAAAAATGAGTGAGACAAATAAGGAGGGAGTAAAAAAGAGGGGAGGAGGTGTCACGAGAAGGAGCTATGTGTTGGATGAGATTCTGAAATGAAGACGGTCATGAAGAGGAGTAGAGGAGAGGGTGTAATTTTAATGGGAAAAGTTTGTCTTTTTAATTCCGCGAAAAAATTTTAAAATCAACGTGCGGAGGGAACTTAGGAGGAGGTGGGTGGTGAAGTTTTAAGGGAAGGAGGCAGAGGTTTTTTAGAGTTATTGGTGCAGGCAGGAGGAGAGGAGGCGGAGAAGGTGATTGGAGGCAGGGTAAAAAGAGGGTAAGATGAGAGGGAAACTTGGAAGAAGAACAGAAGTAGGAGTAGGGAGGAGAAAAGTGCCTTGAATGAAGGATGGGTATTTTTCGAGGGAGTGACAAGGGGTAATTGAGCGTATGGAGAAAACACGAGAGAGGTGGCGAAAGAAATGTGTGTAGTTAGTCCTCGGCGAGAATCGCAATGAATGTCATCTGGAGGAAGATAGTCAGTCTGGTAGCAAAGGGAAGGAAATAGTAGCCCACGCCAGGTAAGGAGGAGAGCCGAGGAGGGAGAAGGATGATGGAGAAATTTAGTTTCGACAAGGGAAAAAAGAAGAATAGGAGGAGGGAAGGAATGGCAAGTGGGTTGTGGGCAAAATAAAAGAGAAGAATTGAGGCGGAGTAAGGTGAGGAGATCGAATGAAGACGGTCATCTGGGAAAGATGGGAAAGGAATTGTTTGCACGGAGGAGTTGGAAGGTCCAAGGAAGTATGTAGGAATATAAAGGAAGTGCCTCTAAAGATGAGGAGAAAACAGAAGAAAAGCGAAGTTGAAATAGTCGAATGTCATAAGTCTAAGTCAAATACGTTTAAAGTCTGTCAATAGAGAGGCAAAGGTACACGCGCAAGGTAAGCAAAAACAATTCGTTGAAGCAGTTATACGCGTAAAAAAAATGGTCGAAACTAGGAGGCTGGGGCAAAAAGGAGGGAAGGGCAAAGGACCGGAGAGCGAGGAGAGAAGGAGGGGAGACGGTGTTGGAGTAGGGGAGAAGAGAGGAGTAGGTTGGATTCGCCTCTCCTTCTCCTGTCGACCCTAACCCCTGCATCCATGGACCGTCTCCAATTGCGAAGAAAAAGCGAGTCCCCGGGGCAATCGTGGCCAGCCTTCAGAGACCGAGCCGCGTCGCCACGACAGCCGACCCGACTGCCTTTACTTGAACTATATTATAATACAGAACATAATAACAATATATCAAACATAGATATATGAATAAAGTTTTATATAATATATATATCAATAGTTATATATATATATAATATATATATATATATATCAATAGTTGTATAAATATATCATGCAATAGATGCGTGTTGCCTGTAGCGCAGGGTGGCGGACTATGGTTCTTGCTGCCAGTGCTCTGGGAGGTGTCTTCACACCGACGAGGCCACATCGCACGGAGCCATCTACAGGATTAGCGCCCGATCCAACGCAATTCTACCCATCGATCAAAGCCGCAGTCAGCGAGCCTGGAGTAAATCAGTTACAACATGGACGCCATTAAAATGCAGGAAGCCATTAGCGACGACTGCTGCGTTGTATTGCTATTATAATGACGTCCCAGTAGATATTTCGCTATAACACGATGAACACAGTCTTGCACGGTGTTCGCTTCGCCGTTTAAACATTAAAGTGTAAGACGATTGCTGAATTATTCACGTGGACATCAATTAAAGACCGGATAGAGAGACCCCGGTTCTTTATTATTTTATAATAAGAAAATTCGCAACGCAATTACGACACGAAGCAATGCTTCCTGCACGCGGTCGCGTTGCGAGGATTAAACTGCTGGGAAAAATTCATCGCTTGTTTGTGTAGAATTTCACCTTCGCATAATCGGCGTCTACCGTAGCACTTTGCTTTCGAGTTAGGTCAATCACG